GGTTGTTTAAATAGGGTGCAAACCCTCAGATTAGGGTTTTGCCCAGCCATAGTCTACTCGTCGAGTCTTGCCGCCGACTCGACGAGTCCGTCACTTAACCCCCGGGTCCAAACCGCTACTACTCGACGAGTTGGGCCATCAACTCACCGAGTCTCAATCCAAATTGCGAAAAAATACCAGAATGAAATACATACCAGGAACCGGGTGCTACATTGCAATCCCTTAAACTTAATGAAATTGAATGGAATGTTTATGTGTTAGAAAAATTGTTAAAATCGTGATCCTGATCGCTAAGTAAATTGGTCACAATCATACGTGGATCATTTTTAGTAATATCAGATCGTAAGATTGTTACTATTAATTTGTCGTTATAAGATTCTACTATTTTATATTAGACTACCTAGTTGAATCAAATCTGACTAAGTGAATCGAATAACGAACCCTGTTAGACTACCTAGGTGAATCAAATTAGACCAACTAAGTGAATCGAATGATGAATATGAACCTTGTTAGACTACCTAGGTGAATCAAATTAGACTAAGTAAATGGATTGACGAATATGAACCCTAAAAAACCTCTTTTGAAATGTTTATTGTTAACTGATGTATTAGAGATATATTTTTAATGTTTATTGTTAACTGAATGGTTATTTGATATATGGAAATATATTTTTATGTTTTAAACTGCTTTTGAAATGATCTTTACAAACAATCTTGCAAAGAAGAAAGCAACACTATATAAAATTCCGATCTTGATCTTGATAAGATTGCTCTTAAGGACTTTATTTCATTGGAGGGAGATGGCCTAAACTCTTTTTAAGTACCGAAGAATCAAAGCCTTTAACCATTACGAAGTTGTTAATTTAAGCATCAATCGGGATAAATCATATCATCAATTAAAATCTTATCATCATGATTCATGAGTCCCACCTCTAAAACAATAAGTAATGACACCACCAGAAATCCAAAATCTTGTAACACAAATTATAAAAACTTTCTTTATTCAGAAAGTGTCTCTCTTCATAATAACGTTACAAATTACAAAAAATATTCGAAGGCAGCAGCCATCATATCATAACTTGACAGCTTACAACACTTCCTCATGTTTTGGTTATTTAACAAGAAAACCAAAATAATCAACAACTGTATTTTTCTTTCTTTATTCTTTCTTCCAAAATTTGCTCCACATGCAAAAATTACGCATGCAAATAATCATATCGATTATAAAAAGACCAAAAAGCCCCTACTAATTAAGCCACAGCCGACCTTTTAACCTCATAGTCTTCAAGGTTAAGAGCTTCAAGCAACTTTGGCCATGATTCTGGAATCCCTCCAGGCAGATCAAACTCCATTATCTTCCCTTGTTCCCTGTAGAAATCCTCAACAGGTTGACTCTGCACAACATTACAAAATCATCATCATCATCATCATGGTTTCATAATTGTTCAAGATCCTAAAAGGGTATTTTAGACATTTGTCAAACAATCATTCCACCTAAAAATGTTACAATACCTTTTCATGATAGACACGAAGTCGCTCTTTGACAACTTCTTCAGTGTCATCAGCACGAGTGATGAGCTTGGTGGAACAGTGTGAAGGTGGAAGAAGTGGGGCCATGCTCATTGCAGGTCTTCCATTTTCTGCTTTTGCATTAATGGAAGCCACATTGAAACCTTTTCCACATTGGCTGCATATCCTTCTTCCAAGACATTTCTCAACCAACACATCTTCCCTCAGTTTCAGATTCACCACCAAATCAATTTCTGTCACCTCGTCTAGAATTTCCTGAAAAAACAAACGATTCTTTAGGGAACTATTACAAAAACATCGAATGAGATTAAATGGTTTGAATTTGGTTAATGGAAGTTACTTACAGCTTGTCTTATGGTTCGAGGAAAACCATCAAGAATGAATCCTGATTCGCCTTTTGATTCTCCAGCTTCTAGTCTTTTTGATAACAAGTTGAAGATAATTTCATCAGAAACTAACTTCCCTTGGTTCACTATCTCAGCTAGCTGAAAAGCATAAGAAGAAGAATGTGAAGTTTGCATCAATGTAAAGTTTACAAGATCCCGCTTCCGCATGTCGCTAATAGAACAACTACGAATTCATGTGCATGGAATAGCGAGCAAATCGAAAGACATTGACAGCTTAATTAGGGAAAAAATTTGGGCGTAAGCGTTAGGATCTTGTTAATTACATAAGCTCGATTAATAATCATATTAAGTCTAAGGAAAGCACACGTAACAGAATGATATATTATCTACCTGTCGAGAAAGAGGACCGGAAGAAGATAACTCTTCACGAACGAGATCTCCGGTGGCGATGTGAGGGACACCGAGAAGAGTCGAGAGGCGACTAGCATAAGTTCCTTTTCCGACACCGGGACAGCCGAGAAACACCCATTGGAAGTTTCTAGAACCCTTGGGATCTGAGAAATTAGGGCGCTGGTTGTCTTGAGATTCAATATCGGAAACCACGGCAGTGGTGGTGGAGGAAAGTGATCTCCTGAATAGAAAAGGGATTGAGGAAGATGATGATGATTTCAGGAGGCGGGTGAGGGCCGCCATGGGTGGATTTGACGGCTGAATTACAGAGCGAAAGGGGAAGCGGAGAAGAAGAAAAGAGCAAGCAACGACCTATTTGGCGTTGAAGGAGAAATGGGGATCCCCAATTCAGAGGTATTTTGGGTTATTGCATCGCATATTCCTAGGTTTACTAATAATAAAAATAAAAATAAAAAATGTACTTAAATTACATGTTTAGTCGTGTAACTTTGGTGAATACAACACATTTGGTACAAAGTTGGGAGATTGTTGCAGTAACGGTCCTTATTTCAAACTACCTCAATGTAAAATTAATAGGTTTGGGCCCCCTCTTTTCACTCCGTTAACATCTACCGTTAAGACCTCTTCATGTGCAAGTCACATGGGGGTAGTTACGTTATTTGGCTCGTTTGTTTTTTGGTAAAAAGTTTTTTTGGGCACTTATATCTGCGAGCAGGTGGATGTTTACCAAAAAGACTGCTTGTTTTCTGGAAGACAAAAGAACTCAAAAAGACTTCTTTATCACTTCTTGTATGAAGGCATAGAAAAATACTTTTGGTCCACATCTTCTGCCACAGACACGGAAAAAGACTAAATATATTTTACCACTTCCAAAACAAACACCACCTTAGTCTCTTGGTCTTCCAGTCTGGTAATTTAAGGAGAATGAGAAGTGGGTTTAGCCTTATTTTTCAAACTTGATCGAATGTAACTTTCTCTCGTTTGAAAATGACGTTTTGTGCATATAGAAGAACAGTTGCAATATAAACATCATAGACATCCAACAACCATGGACAAATTTTCTACTCATACTCCAAAGTGTTAATGCTTACAGTTTGTTTGTTGCGTTAGTTGATAACTTCAAAATGATTGTTGGCTTAAATGTATAGTAGTGAATGTGGATTGATGACATATGTGTTTAATGGAAATGGATGTCATCCCAAGATTGTTGTGGTTCATGAAAGCCCTATAAGCTAACAAGTTTCTTGTTGTACAAAATCAAGTGTTAGGTGTTTTATAAAGACTATTAAGGTGGATGTTATTATCTTCGTGATGGCGATAAAGATGTAATATTATGTCATGTTAATGGTTTTTGGCATTGTAGAAGATGAAAAAGTGTGGTTAGTTCATGTTTATTTTGAAATTTTGAATCGAAGCTTACAACCATTGATCGGTGTAAAAAGAAATTAAAGACACAGGTCATTCCGTGTAGCTTTTAGCAGTCAAGAATCTATGATCTTCATGTTGTTTTTATTATTCATATATTGTCTTTTAATTTTTCTAACAGCGAGATAGTCTATTTATACCTTTTTTGTAGTTGTTTAAAATCATGAAGGATCAATCTGAATTTTTCTACAAAAGTTGATAATCTAATGATAATATAATTTATTATTTGTTTCAACATATATTATTCTCAATATTATTTGTCAACTTGTTTGCATCTAACATTACTAACGATTCAATGTTATTTAACTATACTACTCGTCAAATTTTTTGTTTGTCAATTCCGAAATACAACAGTTGACCATAAGTAGAGTTGATGCATTTTCCTTTATAGTTAGGTGACCCACATGGTGGGCTTTTTTTTCTTCGAAATTATATTGGTATTTCCAGAAAACTATTTTGCATAAGGATATGCTAACCCGTACATACAAGAGGTTTTTTTCCGAGTTTGACAAATGGTTACGCGAGTCGCCTTGAGTACATCGTGGTTTATGGAGATCCTTTATTTGGAGACATCTAGTAGGTTGTTTACCCATCTGGTTTGGTGGTATGAGACTGTGTACTCAGCAGTAGAGGGTATCTCTTATAATTTTTTTTGGCCTCTAGGCTCCAATATAAGGTGTTATGAGACCACAACTTATAAGACAAAGACATATGTTGTATGTATTTTGAATATGTTTGTGCTTTTTGGCTTGTTTTCATTATATGATATAGAGTTATATAATAGTTTCACTAACAAGTACATTGTACCAAGGACCTACATACATCGACAAATACCATTTTAAGTAAAATTATCCATGAAACAAGTAAACTTCAAATTGATTTTTAGACAAAACATAGCTTTTAAATGTCCACAAACACCACATGCTTAGGATTTTCGTATGCCTATCCCTATAGATGGTTTAGACCAACATATGTCACAACTGGAATATCATTCTATCCTTAGATATCGTCTAAGGATTCCATTATTTTCATTTGATGAAATATGAACAAAAACATAATTAGGCTCCTTTGAGATCACGTAGTACATTGTATAAAGCTTATAGGTTTCAAGCCCCAACATATTATGGTTAACTCATTTTTACCAACACATAAACTAATAAACATTTTTGTCAAAAAAATGTTTATTTAATTAAATAATCAATCCTAAACACCCATGATCAACAAGTTAACAACTTTCTCTTTCTCTAAAACAAAGTTAACTCTCTAAAACAAAAACCAGCCCAACTCTGCATATTTGGGCCTCCCATCTTATTTCAGCCCATTTTCCCGGTCCAGCCGTCCTTTCGTCTTTGTCGAAGCGTCCGGAAGACACGAAAACACCAACAAACACCGTCACCAACATCATTTCCATCTTCATTTTCCCGCCTCCTGATCCCACTCACTACACAATGGCGGATAAGAGAAAACGCCGACGAGCAGACGCCGATTCCGACGACGAATCTGTTCGCCTCCCCTTCAAAAACCGTCTCAAACCAGACTCCGTCATCCTATCAATACTCGAAACCCTAACCGAAGCCACCAAATCAGCCTCAACTTCTAAAACCCTAACCCTCTCCGATCTCAACCTCTCATCCACCTGCCGTGAAGTCACCGACTTAACCTTATCCTCTGTCCAAACCGAGATCCAAACACTAGCCATCTCTCTTGCTAAATCGATCCTCGCCGGCAACGGCTTCTCCTTCTCCGTCCCCTCACGCGCCGCCACCAACCAACTCTACGTCCCTGAGCTCGATCGCATCGTCCTCAAGGACAAAACCTCCGTTCGCCCCTACGCCTCTGTCTCAACAGTCCGGAAAACCACTATCACAGCCCGTATCCTGTCCCTCATCCACCAACTCTCCCTCAAAAACATCCACGTCACCAAGCGTGACCTGTTTTACACCGATGTCAAGCTGTTTCAAGACCAGACTCAGTCCGATGCTGTTTTGGATGATGTTTCGTGTATATTAGGTTGCACCAGGTCATCACTGAATGTTGTCGCAGCTGAAAAGGGAGTGGTTGTAGGCAGACTTATATTCAGCGACAATGGCGATATGATTGATTGCACGAAAATGGGAATGGGAGGAAAAGCAATTCCTCCGAATATAGATAGAGTAGGTGACATGTCAAGCGACGCATTGTTCATACTCTTAGTTGAAAAGGATGCTGCTTACATGAGATTAGCTGAAGACCGATTCTACAATCGATTTCCTTGCATAATCGTGACAGCGAAAGGGCAACCTGATGTTGCCACCAGGTTGTTCTTGAGGAAGATGAAGATGGAGCTAAAATTACCTGTGTTGGCTCTTGTAGACAGTGATCCTTATGGTTTGAAGATCTTGTCTGTTTATGGCTCTGGATCAAAGAACATGTCTTATGATAGTGCAAATTTGACTACACCTGATATCAAATGGTTGGGTGTTAGGCCTAGTGATTTGGACAAGTATAAGATACCAGAACAGTGTAGATTGCCAATGACAGAGCAGGATATTAAGACTGGTAAGGATTTGTTGGAGGAGGATTTCGTGAAGAAGAATCCTGGTTGGGTTGAGGAGTTGAATATCATGGTGAAATCGAAGCAGAAGGCAGAAATTCAGGCTTTGAGTACCTTCGGTTTTCAGTATCTATCTGAGGTCTATCTACCATTGAAGTTACAGCAGCAAGATTGGCTATAGTGATGGTTAGCTTCCTCTTCTTTCTCTTTGTAATGAGTTTGTTGTTGTTAAAGTTTCATCCTGTGTCTTGAACCCCTATGAAAACGATCAAGTTTTTCCTGTTTGCTGTTTATGAGATGATATGTGATTCATCTTTACTTATTTTACTTGTTCTTCTTCGCTTATAAGACAAAGCCTCAAGAGTAGTTGTTAGTTATCCTGAATTTACTGCTATATTAGTGTAATTTAAGATGACTTCTAATCAGAACTCATTTATTTTATTATGCTTTTTATGCATATTGTACAACCCATGGGGTTGTTAGAATCCATTTTGATGGAAAAGTGATTGAATGAAAAAAAGGTGATAGAAGTTTGTTTGAGATTAAAGGTTAAGATGGGTTAAAATATTTAATACAGTTTGTTTGTAGCCCCCTCGTTACAATTGATTTACATTATGCTTCGGTTAATGAATCTAGGCATAAAATATGGATAATAAAAGCTAGGATTTTATTACTATTGATAACAAATAATGAACAGAACTAGTAATGGTATAAAGTGCCCATAAATCGATATAAAATGTTTTTATAGTTCATGTAGAAAAAAAGAAAGTTTAGTGACAAAAACAAAACACAAAAAGTTGACTTCAACTTGTTGATAATCTCTCATTTTTAACGTTGAACATATGAACATAGACAATCACTTTGATGATTCTCTCATTTTTAACGTCGAAATTGAAATTACTTGAGTTTAAAGGAGTTTACCCAAATCGAAGTATAGTGGAAAAGAAGTCAAACTTAAGGGTAAGTTTTTGTATATTATCTATTCTAAACTCGAAAGATTTACATTTACCTCACGGATCATGTTAACACTTAACAATCAACCACTTTTGACAATTTTAAATATTTTCTTCCATGAGAGTACAGGGGAGTCGTATACTATGAGTTTGGCACTTCAATTATTTTGGGTGTAATTATTGATCATGTACTATAGTTATTTACCAATTGTATAATGATATTAACCATATGTCATTTTTTTAAAAATTATTTTTTTTACAGTTTAGGTCTCGAGTGATCTCTGCGTAGGCCGACTAGTTGCTAGTCTCCAGTCGATACAACTTTTGGAACCTTGAGTCTCCATTCAGTTTCATGGAGCTCCTAGCTTATTACCTAAATTTTATTAACCATATAGCATTTTATGTTGAGTTGTTTGGACTAAGATTATGTTTATAGTAACTAGGAGAAGCCCATGCTCCCCATGGGGTGAATGGACTTTAGATATTAAGTCGACTAAAGTAATTTTATTAGTCCAAAAATTAAAGACGGAAAAAGAAAACTATTCGTATTAGGAGAAGTTTGGAATGTTGGTGGCGGAAGTGCAAAAAGAAAAGTATGGGGGCAAATTGGAGAAAAGTTGAAAAAAATGTGACAAAATCCAGAAACTAAAAAGTTTACTGTTCCCAACCCCCCATGGGATTATATATATATATATATATATATATATATATATATATATATATATATATATATTGAAGGTCACCCGTGCTATTGGCACGGATTTGAATGATCAGTAATATGAAAGCAAAAGGTTTTCTGCTAAATCAAGAAAAAGGAATGTACTTTCATAAATTGACATATTTTAGCATTATCAATGAAAATAATAATGTAAACATCATTATCTGAATCTACAATATGAACATTTGTAAATATATTTCCAAGTCCTTGATCTGAGCAATAAAAGCATGCACTCCTTCACCGACACCATTAATTCGAAGTTGTGACAAAACCATTGTGTGTAGCATGCTGAAAACCTTCGCAACCCCCGAAGTAAACACAAATGAAGGGGTATACCCCACCACAGGCAACCAAACAAAGAACTCAAGACACTCATCGAGCTCTAAACTAAAGAAACTAACCTATGGAAAAAATTATTGAAATTATATTATGATTACAAAGGCTAAAAATAAATCAAGTTTCTACTTAATAAAAAAGAGCCTAAGTATTATCCGAAACTAAGCACATACTTAGACATATTGGCCTAGATACACATGAGGCCAACTGAAAAACAGGTATACACATCAAATAAATTAAACAGATTTAGGTAATTGAAAGTACACTGGTATTTCTTACATTGCCCCCAAGAAATGGTTATTCTTCTCCTTTTTCCAAATGTTTAGCAACATTATATATTGTCAAGCTTAATCCAAAATTCTATGTTAAAATATTTAAAAAAAAAAAGAATGCCAAATCAGGCTAAAATGATGAAGTACTTGGCTACATGTGGTTGTGGCCGATTTCTTATTGCATATAAGATGATAAACTCTTGGAAGGTTGGAGGCCCCTGTAATCTTTTAGGTGAACGGTAAGTCATGTTTTTCTTGTCGAGCTCACACTTTACAACGTTTTACATGAAAACCTCAGCCACCTGCACAAAAAATGATAAACTGATGAGTTTAGTATCGTGGAGTTCTTGTGGGTACGCATAACCAAGCATGTTGCTCGTATCTTCTAGTCAAATCCCCTCACACAAATATATCCTTAAATATATCATCGAAATCAAGTCTTAGAAAAATGATTTGTAGCTCAAAACCTCTTCCAATCCACAAAATCTGAGAAATAAAAAACATTCATACTTAAAATAATATAAAAAGGATTATTTTACCTTCTTCTAGCGCTTTTCTTGTTCTTGTAGCCAAACTGAATTCATGTTATAATGATACTTCAGCTTGTATAAGCTTTAAAAATCTCAAGCAAAAATCTAAATATAAATTAATGAATATAGTCGAAAAGAACCTGCATCAAATGTAGCTTTACGGAAAGCATGGTCTTATTTGCTGACGAATCTCTTCACAATGTTTGTTCATCTTCATTTTGTAACTCAATTAACCGACATAGTGAAGGTGTAGCTGTAAATAACGGTGATGAAGAAGAAAATCAGATTTAACATTCAAGTCAATTAATGGGGTTGATTTCTGTAACAATCCAAAACTGATTTCTTTATTACATCAATTAACATTAAAAATTGAGGGTTTCAATTAATGAACCTTCCCCTCCCCTCCCTTCTAGTGAACATATTTACCTTCCTTGCTATATCCATATGCTTGAATTAAGGCCGAAAGAACACCGCCATTTTTCTTTCCATTTTGTGTAGCGGCTTCTTTGTCATGGGACTCATTTCCATCCATATCATTTGACCATTTACTTCCTACTCGAATGCTTTACTTCTAGTGTATCATCTTTATGCTTCTTCTTCTTATTCTGCACATCATCATCTAACCAATTCACAAAACCAGATGTTTATCGTCTTTTTTGAACTAAATGTCTTGAAGTATTATTATTAATAATTTTGTTTCTTATATGAAAACTGCAATCAAGATTCAATATCTTGTGCTGTGCCATCTGAATTCAATGTTGGAATTTGGAAGTGCAACTCCCATCCAATAAAAGATCGATGAAAATAATAATTAATATAACTTGTAGAGACACTATTATAATATTTCCGCTAGTATCTGCATATATTAATGTGGCTTCACTCTAATAATAGATTCAGATTTCACCATGTTTAGTGTGCACCAAAAGACATGAATGCGCTTCATGGAGACTGCAAAACCAAACACTACGCTACGCTCATTGCTAAGCTTACCTCTTCAATCCCACCTTCATCAAAACCATCTCCATGGAGTAAGCATTGCAAAGTTAAATATGAAATCAACTTTTCAACAATCCATAATAATTTTTTATTTGATTCAAAACAGAATTAAAATGAGAAAAAAATGAAATCAAAGCTTATATTGTTACAGATAAGCAACGATTAAGAAAGACAAACGTCAACAAAGGGAAAAGGGTTCGTACATAAACAGGAAAAGGAGTTTTACTTGACTAAGGACTGTCACCAAAATCGTACAAAATCCACTGGAATGTAGAGAAGAGTGACGTTGAAGAAGAAAGCCACACCACATATTCGTCTAGGTTTTCCTTCTATACAGTGAGCTCGTCGCCGATATTGGATACCAATCTGAAGTAGAGAAGAAAACAATAGGCGAAGGAAGCGATGGTAAAGACGCGTGTTGGAAGCAACATTAAGACAGCCGATGGCGACGATGGAGGTTGCTTCGGAGAGGACGAAGGAGGTGACATTGCGGACGGATGGGCGGTTGCTTTGATCGGAACCGAGAAAATGATAGATCGGAAAGGAATCTCAATCTCCCCCAAATGGGAAATACAGATAATCGATTTTGGGAACAGTGGTATTTGTGGCGGTGAAAGAAGGAACGTTCGATGGAGGAACTACAGATCACAGGAAGCGGTGGGAATCATGTTCGTAGAGAAGCAGTGAAAGTAAGATGGAAAGGGTTTTGCGACAATATTGGATTTGAAGTATAGAGAGCAGCCGTTCGACATTGATCCTAATGTAATTGGCTCACAAAGGTTGTGAAGAAGAACGACACCGATCCTAATGTAATTGGCTTACAAAGACGGTGAAGTGCTTATACAAATAACACGTGTGCAGCTCCAATTTTAAAAATGGCCTAAAAAGACTTCCTAT